TAAAGAGATGGGATGAAATCAAAGGATGTAATCTTGCCAGGATCACCTTGGGCGACCCTGGGAAGCTGGCGCCGAAGAAATATCTGGCGATGACCAGGAAAAATCTACGCCTTACAGTAGGATTTCTGACTGGCCACTGTCAACTAAGGAAACACCTCTTTAATATGGGGCTAGTGGACACACCTCTATGCAGGATGTGTGAACAGGAAGATGAGACTGTCAGTCATGTCCTGTGCGAGTGCCCGGAGTTATCGTCAATAAGAGAGTGTGTGTTCAGTGAGTCTTGGCCTATACCTGCCGATATAAAGGAGATGTCTCCCAGCGACCTGTCCCCCTTCCTGGAAAGGACAGGATGAACGATGACCTAGGAGGATAACTCCTCGGGAGGATGTACAATGGGTCACATGTGGCCTAAGTGCGTGGGCTTACACTCACCCTCCCTACTCTACAGATACAGATGCTAGATTGTTAGATTGTAAAAACTTCTATTCAGGTGAATTTAAATTTCAATTCAAATATGCATGCTGAAAATTTATAGATAGTTTGATGTATCTAGTAGTTGTTACCAGACCAGATTTATGTTATACAGTAAGTTTTCTCAGCAAATGTAATACTTCTTATAATGCAACTCATTGGACACATGCTAAGAGAGTAAGTATTTTGATAATCAAAAAAAGCAACTTTATTTTTTAACTTTTCGCAAAGATGATAGAGATATAGAGGATTTTGTTGAGGTCAGAAAGTCAAATTCAGGGTTTATTTTTACAAGTAGCTGGTATATTGTGGGAATCTACAAAACAGAAATCTGTATAGCTATAAGTACCGAGGTTGAATATATATAGTCATTTCTTAGGCCTCTAAGGAATGTGTATTTCTACAAAATTTGTAAAACGAAATTACTGGAAAATTTTGTAAAATTATCTTACACAATGACAGTCAAAGTACTCAAAAACTATTGATCAGTCCAGTATTTCACAATCCTACTAAACATTTAGATATACAAAAGCTTTTGGCTTTCTACTACTCCACCTTGAAACAAAAAATGTGGAAATTTTCCAAAGAAAGGAAGGAAGCAATCAATTTCAAAAGAAGTAACTATACAGAGATTTGTAGATTATGCAAAGAAGTAATTTTCAGACACAAACTGGAAGAAAAAGCCCTCCTGAAACAGCTAAAAGTATTTTTCTGTCATGTAATTCAATGTTTACATGAAGAAAGCTAAGCATTATCTATACATCTATGTATAGAGTTACTTCTTTTGAAATTGATTGCTTCCTTCCTTTCTTTGGAAGATTATCAAGATGGAGAAGTAGAAGACCAAAAACCTCCTGTCCCAAAAATTACTCCTAAAAATATAACCCTTTCAATTTAAATAGACATTTTCATTTTGTTAGAGATTTGATTGATGAAAAATTATGGATTGTTCAATATATGCTGAATCAAGATATGTGTGCTGATATACCTACTTACCAAGAGTTTACCTTTTATGAAATATAATTTTGTGAAAGATTTTGGATTATCTTGAATATTTTTGGTATGCTGATAAGTGGGGTATTGAACGTTATATCAACATCAAAAAATTCTTGATACTTATAGCACCGTTTTCTCAAGTGTTGAATATATCGTCATCTTGGAGAAGTGAGCTAAGCCACACAACTGCCGTTTGTGTGGCTTAGTAAAGTTTTTCTTAATAATTATTCATTCCTATATATTTCCTTATTTGAATACAAAGATAGATTTCCTTATTGAACTTGTTTTTGGATATTAGTATTCATGAATAAAGTTAGTCATTACTGGAATTTTGAAAAGGTGGTATTATTAAATACAGTAACTTGGTCTTGACATAGGTAATTCTAAGAAAAAAAGTTATATAATAGATAAATGTAGTGACATGTGTATACAATGTATAATGTTATAACTTGATGGTTTTCAATTGATTTAAAACTTTTCTTCTTTTTAGAAGACCTCAATTTAAGCTTGTTATCAATAAATTATTTCAGTTATTATTTTTCAAGGTTAAACTCTGAAATAGTCGCTGAATGCCTATAACTCAATAAATAGATCAGAGAGCCAAGATTTGATTTCAGATTCATGATCAATAGACAAAAATAAGTCATAAAGTTTTATCAAAAACTAGCATGAGCAGTTAAAAACAATATTTACCCAAATATGAATCCTACAATTTTTTTAAACTACAAAGTAACAATCTTGAAAGGTCATTTCAATATGCAGAAACATCAATTTTTTTCAAAAGGTTTGTTTCCAAATAAACTAGTTTTCATACCAATGGGTCCCGCTGCTCTTACGGTAGCGAGTGGGTTCAAATAAGTCAATGGATAAAACAAAAAACCCATTATCTTGTAAAAAAATGGTATATCCAACTTGGCAGGTCGTTCACTGAAACCCCAAGGATCTGCCAAAATCAAGTGTTTAACTCTGTTGGGATAGTTTATTGCATAACTCGTAGCTAAGTAACCTCCGAAGCTGTGTCCCAATAGTATAAATTTATCCAAGTCTACCTTTTTCCTCCACTCTTCCAAAGATCTGACCATTTGCTGTTCAGCTTCGACATTATCGTTGCTGAATTCTGGCCTAGTTGAACGGCCAAACCCTAATAAATATATCAATAAATTATTTTTTCTAACATGAATTAAACTTTTAATTAACCTAACAAGTCTATGGCGTATACTGGCCTTTCTTTTGCTACTGCATCGAAATTCAGGCACCAGAAACCGAGTCCAGCTGCGAAACCATGAAGCAGAACTAATGGGGTATTTTTGGATTCTCCATTTACAACTACAGTCCAAATTTTGTCATCTTTACCCACAGTAGATCCAATAGGCACAAACCAAGTCTTATAGGCTGTCTGCACCACTAAAAATATTATTAATAATAATATTTATACTATCATTTATACAATCGATATTGACATTGTCATAATTTATACACATATTTACATATAAAACACAGGCTTTAATTAAAATAAACAATCCAAATATGAAATATTCAATTATGAAAGAAGAATAATATATTTTGATCTAGGCATCCAAAAGTTAAGGGTGAGAAATTAAGAAGCAATTCTGCTAAAGTATATATTAATTGAGTAGAAACAGTTATCAATGATGAAATCCTTAACTCTATATATTAATATATTTTATTAATAAACTTTCATCTGCAAGTGTATTGAATACAAGGAATATTGATTTTGGTATTGAAATTAAGTAAAGTATTTGCAAAGCCTCTTAAGTATTTACAGTAAATGAAAACAGTGGACATAATGTGGAGTTATGTATAGGTTACCCATAGTAGCAAAAAAGAGAAAGAATATATCTTCATCAGAAAGTTTCAGTTACAGAATTCTAGTAACATGAATTTAATAATAAAAAAGTAAAAACAATATAAATAAATTGAAATGTTCAATTGTGTACATTGAACACATCTGAAGAAGCTATTGTTGAATGAAACATATGTTCTGGTTTGAAAAACTGTTTAATGAGAACCTCACAATATGTTATCATAGATTTTCATCAAGTATTGGCTAATTTCATCACGCATCAATTGCTTTAAAATACTACGATATGAAGGAAGTCTTGGTCATGTCCTATTTTACCAGGTAAATTATCCGGAATAGTAGAAAAATAATTTATTTTGATTTCTGTGGAGTAACTACCTGCTGGTTTTCAGTTTTGAATTTTGTATATCAATGAGAATACTATCAAAAACTTACCACTTAATATCTTCTTTTCAACTTCAATCAATTTACTTTCGGAAAATTTTGTCCACCCACACTTTTCATTATTATTCTCATTAGTGCTCATGTTTTGAAAAAATTGTTTTTGAATGGATGATTTTCGTTTAACAAACTTGAACCTCAAAATTGCATCATTATGACAAAGATGATTGTGCGAATTTGATTTGGAGGATGTTGGTTTGAGGATAATGATCAACAATTTAACAACAAATTTATCTCATCATTTCATCCTATTTTGAAGTTCGATCTTTTGACCTATTCTTTCATTGGTTGGCGCGGGTTTGACCTTGAAAATGTCGTCATTTTGATGGTGGGAAATATGAATTTTTCTACTAGACTGAAGCACAGAATATCGCTATTCTGTTACTAAACTACAATAGTAACCATGTTTAGTGATTTTAACATGTATGATATTTATAGACTGATCAAAATATTGAACTTTCCACGAACTCAGATCTAAAATATTAAATATACTTCTGAATTGTCCTCTACTTTAGCGCGAAATTCAAATGTATTGTTATTATTTTATATTTGACTATAAATGCATGTCTGAAATTAAATAATTTTTCAAATGAATTTCAAAATTATTGTCACAATATTCAGAATTGATATAAAAAAAATGAAGTCGACTATAATGGTAAACGAAATTTGTAGGTACTGAATAATGAAACGTTAAAAATATAACGATAAAACATTTTTATTGACACAGCAAACTTATGTGGAAAAATTATATATATGAAAACATCAACTGACGGCTACAAATTCAAGAATGCCAAATTTCTTGAGCCGGAAGTAATTGATAGTCTATTAACCTGTATTAACTATATAGGTAATATCGAAAGAAGCTTCAGCTAGAAGTATCTGCTTATGAAGGTGATATGAAGATAATTTTGAATTTCATCAAATTTTGTGTCGATATGGCAATGGCTCTAAATACTGTAGCTAATTCTACATCAGAAGTTCTTAAACTTATTTTGTCTACCGCCACTTCGAGAATTAATTATTTTCTAGCGCTCCCCAAATTTTTTAACTTTACTACATCTTAAGAATCACAATCGTAGTCATTATTTTAATAATAAAATTATGTGTGTCATGTGAAAATGAGAGAATGAGGGTAATGTAAAACACCATTTTGTAATATTACGAAAACTTTTATTCATATTATTAAAACAAATATTTCAATTTGAATTTTAAAACTAATCTAATGTGAAGTACGAATTTGATGCTTTTTACAAGTTTATTAGTATCGGGCTCGAATTTACTCAAAAACAGCCGTAAGTCATCGCGTTCGGTAATCTGCAACCGATTTCTCTTTTTAGTTAGCAACGTTGCCACAGCACTAAATCCACGTTCACACAAATACGATGATGAAAATGCTATCAAAAATCGTTGAACGATGGACCACAATCCAGGGTACAATTGAGGGATTGGCTTTTGTAGCCAAAATTCTTGGTATCCATTTTTGAAGTTTATTTTTATTTTCTCATTCATAATCAGTTCTATGAGTTCTTCCAGCTGGGGTGATCCTGTTGTGTTGACATTTGAAAAAGGATTCAACACCCAGTCCGGTATTTCCTTAGTTACCTAATCTAAGGGTATTTCCAATTTTAAAATGTCCTGGAATCGTTCTGCGAAATCACTGTGGAGGTTCTCCAAATGTTGGCAGTAAACAAGCAAGTCGTCGTTCTTGAAGTATACTGTTGACAAATTAGGGAAATTGCGAAACTCACGTCTGCCGTGTATAAGAGCAATTTGACTATGAAAGCAGCAATGACATTTTTTGTTTTAATCAAATTCAAGTCGTCACCTTGAAGTTGGAGATTGACATCATTAAATAATTTATACAGGTCTGTCAAGTACCTAATATAATTATTTGAAGTGATGAGGTTGTCGTGCAATTATTTGTCTTTGTTTTCCAAGAACTCTATTACAGAGTCAAATAGATTGCGAAATCGAGTCAGACAGTTACCTCTTGATAACCAACGCACTTCTGTGTGAAATAGAAATTGGTTGAAATCTTCATCATTAGCAACACAAAGCTGATTAAATAATCTGTCATTTAAAAAGATGTTTCGGCTGCTTTGATGACTGCTTTGATGATATATTACAGTGATTCAGAGAGACGCTCACTCAAATTATTCACAACCAAATGTTGCCTATCAATGACGCAATATACAGTGAGCACATCTGGAATTTTATTTTGCAAGTACGCTATCAAATCCTTTGTGACGTCCTGTCATAGCCGGAGCGCCATATAATATTCTTCAGTGGAATTTCTCATCACAAAATTTTTCCAGTGTATTATATATGGTTTCTCTTTTAGATCCGTCCATAAATTTCTGGCAAATAGTAGTTCTTGATATATTTTCTCATTTTTAATAAACGTATGACACGTATGACAACAAACAATGCTTCATTAATTGGTAAAGTGGACTCATCTAACTGAATTGAGAATTTAGAAATCTTCTGATGATTGCACAATGACTCTTCAATGTTTTCAGCCATCTCATCAATTCTTTATTCTATATAATTCTAGAGAACTTTTCAGCAAGAATAGTGATCATTATTTTGCATTATATAAGTTAGATTTTAACTGAAAACGTTTATTTGTTTTACAATCACGTTTATTAATACAAAAATTCTTACTTCAACCATTGATATAACAGGTACATAGTTATTATTTATTCGACATGATTAAATAGTTAGCGAGTTGAATATAAAACGAAAATCAGTTTTTAATTAGAACTAGGATGATCTATTAAGTAATATTTATGTCTTTTGGAAGAATAATATAGATAGGTACTTGTAAGAGGCAAAATAAAACCTCCGGCTTTGATTAAAAATTTAAACGTCTACTTATTTTTTTAAGAGCAAAGTCTTTTATTGCACCATCAATGTCTGTAGCATCACACATCTCTTGTTCAATAGACAAGATAGCCAAATTTGTTAGTCATAGAGTACTCATTATTGTCGACCTTGAATAATTTTTAATTAATTTCATTTCGAAAAACTTCTCTCACAGCTGGCATTGCTTATGGCAACTATAAGAAATATTCGCAGCATGATTAAAATATTGGACAGAGTGTCTTCCAGCTTATATTTTACAATAAACTTCAATAATTCAAGTGAGTCTGCATTGATTATTGTTTTTCTTTCTGGTTTTGAAGGTCTAGTTGACTGTGATGTATTTAAGTCTAATGTAAAATCTGACGTCTCAGGAACAACACTTTTCACATATTTAAGTAAATCCCCTTAATTTGCTCTAATATTTTCCTTCTCTCATTACGGTAAGATGCCCCACTTTCTTTTACTCTTTTCATTTTTGATGCTAAAATAAAAAAAAATAGTAATGATAAAAGTTAACTAGATATTTTCACAGCATATCTATATATAGGAAGAAATCTGAAAACCGTTATCAAACATTTAAAAAAAAGAGTGTACCCTTGTGTGTGTGTTTTTTTTAATGTTGATCCTAGCATAATAGGCAATAGAGTATATTTTTGTGATCGTAAAATAAGTCACAAACGGAGGTCACATATTTTGCTACCTTCTTGTAGTTTTGAATTATTTAAAAATTAGCTATCGTACTTAGCACTTTCAACTTTTTAGTATATTTGAAATTATCAACAATAACGATAGCCAAATAAAATAGATTTCTAATAGTAAAACTTGGTCACATATTTGAGCAAATGGAAACTCAGAACACTTCAACAAAACGTCCGCGCTGGTCACTAAAATTAGTTTCACATTGAAAACAGAGTATATACCGTCTCCCGATAAAGACGATATGTTGTTTTCCCATTTCGTGCCGAATTCTTTCTACGATTAGAATATTTTTTGCGAAAAACAGCGGTCACAAAATGGAATGTTCCGAAATTTATGATTTAATTTATGATTTCAATTTATATTTGTTTTTAATATAAAATAATAACATTGATACTTCTAACTGATAAACTCGACTTGTACGAATTCAATTGTAATTATAATCCATCCCCAATACAGTATTTTTTTGGAAATCATAGAGTAAGTAAGAGTACGGCTCTGCCGAACTCTAAAGACCTGATTCGGTCCCCAGCGGGGCAGGCACAAAGTATATGCTCTGTTAATGAAGTAGTCGGATAGTTAAGTTGCAAGATTCCCACCTTGATACCCACGACAACCTTCCCATATGAGGGTTTATGCACGTCAGCTACACCTGACGATGCCTTAGATTCATCCGTGCAGGGCTTTTTCGCCTCTGGTTTTGGTGAGACCTCACTTGAGGGCAAACGTTTGCTAACCTGCTCATGGGGGGTTAGTTCCCCCACCTGAGACAGATTCTGCGTACGCCGCAGCTCTCGCTCTTGAACTAAATTTACAGGGAGGTCAATTGGAGTCGTAAACTTTTAATCCATATCCTCTGTATACTCGCTCCTGTACCAAATTTACAGTGAGGTCCGTTGGAGTCGTAAACTCGACATCCATCTCCTCTATAGACTCAGTGTTAGAAAAAATTTTTATGTTTACTCTGTCCATAAAGGTCCCACGAGTAGCTAGATAAAGAAGATCATTCACGGCAGAGCCCCGCATTACCGTGACAAGGCGATGCTACGACGAGAGGGGGCCCGGTATCTCCAAGGTTCCGTAGAGACAGCTGATAGGCTCAGTGTCATTCATCATCTCGGCACGGATACACACAGCTTAGGATTAAGCCATCGTTGGGATGCCACTCAGTTAGGGAATAACAGAACCACAAGTGATTCTGTCATTCCCGTATCCAGCGGGGCTACGTGGAAGCAGGCATCCGATGGCTGGTTTGCTCAACCCCCACATCCCAAGCCAATGCACTCGCCAAAAACAGTATGCACAGTGGTTCAGGCAGTGAAAGATGAACAAGCACAGCCAACCCGCCACGTAAATAAATAAACGGAAGGAGATACTTGAACAAAATAAAAAATGAATGCTAGGCAATGAATTTCACTGGTCCGAAATTGTACAGAAAAGGGTAACAGAATAAATTTTTTCTTACGTGCGTCTTATGCTTCGATGAAATAAAAGCAAATTTATTTTACAATTGTAGTACTGACGAAGGAACATCATTTTGAATATGATGAAAAGATAACATTTTGAGAACACTTTCTATTAGCATGACAAATAATACATTACAATAACCAAAGTTGAGACTCCTAAATAATTTTGGAAAAATGAGGGTAAAATCAGCTACTCAAATATTGAGTTTAACTGTGTCTGCTAGTACTAATGTATATATTTACCCCTGCAAACC